CATGCGAGTGAAGGAGGCCATCATTAGGCTGAGAAAACAAAATAAACCCATCAGAGAGATAACTGCCAAAACAGTTATCCTTGTTCCAATATTTCTGGTCCTGACTGTATGTAAAAAAAAAAAATTGAATTCAAACAGCTATGCTGAATCAGAAATAGGCTGTTTCAATCTTCCTAGAAGTGTTCCAACTGTTCCACAGATTTTCAGTACTGAAAATGACCCAGTTTTGAGCTCTAAGCACTTCTGGAATGCTTCTAATATATTCTGAACAAAATATGAGCTTGAAATGTTTTAAATACAAAACATTACACACACCATCAGTAATGACTTCACATCTATATTACCTCTACCAATCCTGTCTGTCGAATTGATGGTGGAAGGCTGGTTTCAAGGTCATAGGTTACCAGGGCTTTCCCCCACATTCCTTCATGTTCATATGTTCTTATCCTGTTAAGATAACATATCATAATAACATTCATACAAATTCCAAATTTTTATAACAAATTAATTTTCTAATATAATTAATACCTGGCCAGTGGCTGCAGCATTCTTCCTCCACCACAGCCATAGAGACTATCTGGCTCTCCTATGCTTCTGTATATATCCATGAGAAGGTCCTGAGTAGAAAAAAAAAAGTTATCTGACAAATAAGTCTTGAATACTTTAAGACATGTATTTAAAAATATTGTGGCAAACAACACAGCAAGCAATACTGGTAGTTGACTATTTTATAAACTATTAGCACATGGACAAGCCTCTAATAATGCCATTGTTTCATGTTCAAAAGCCTGGTGAAAAGAACAGTTTGTATTCTTGGACTTCTTTTTCCCAAATAGTAACCATCCCTACCATCTGGCAAACTACTCTTTAAACAGATAGAGTCTGAAAAGTTGTTTGTTCTATTGCAAGGAGCCTGCTGTTCAGAGAAACACTGCCTAATATTTCTCTAAGTATACCAAAACATCTATTTGGATTCCAGCTGTACTGTATTTTACAATGATTTGAGATAGATACTAGAGGAACCTACAAATTATGCCTCAAATAAAACAACTGGGAATAACATCTTACTTTAATTCTAAGTAGAATATCATGTTTGCTGTAAAGTGAACTAGGTTTTGGAACACAGGAGACAGTAATAGCTTGCAATTAATTGGAATTAGGTCTAACACATCTGGGAAGGTTGCTAGTTTATGGAAGTGGTCATGCCACTGTTAAAACATGACAACAATTATTTGTCAATAAGTGGTATCAAAATATAATACTGTTAATGATGTGGATTATTTTTATTAAACTACATTAAAAACAACCTTTAAGCACTTTTAAGTATAGTACAATAATTGTTAAGGACTATACCTGCAAACTTATTCCAGTCTCTTCTCTACTCTTCTCACTTAAACAAGTAAGTGTTGAATTCTGACTTCCTTCTTCAAATATTAGTTTCTTAGTTGCTTTGGAAGCAGACCTGCAGAAAAGGAATTTAAAACTGATGTCAAAGTGGAATTGATACTGTTTCTGTGCATTCAAAAAAGCTCTTTTAGAAACCATGAATATAAACCATAATTAATAATTATGCCCATTTACTTGGTTAATGTATTAGGTAAGGCCTAACCAGTCACCTTCCAACAGCAACTGAGTAACATTTATGAAAATAGCAAAAAAGCTTGAAATGAACTGTTGTATTTATTTTAAATTACCTAGAATTTTAACAAATAAAGCAATGCTATATTGTCCTTTCACTTGTGAAATCTCAGTGAAATAAATGGTATATTTTTCTGAGATCTATGAAGCAGAACTATTGTTCTCTTGGCGAAAGCTACTTTTAACTAATTAATGATTCGGCTGTTATAAGAGGAACAGCCGAGGAATCTTGGTTCAGATGAAATGCTAAAAAAAGTCAAGAATGGAAGTTTCATGGTTTTCTTGCTCACACTGAGTAGAAGAATCAAACTGGAATATTTGGCATGCTTCTCCTTTACAGTATTTTCCATAGGCTGAAACGTCAATGATTCAAGGCAATAGCACCGGAAATTAGGGCTGTGCCACCCTTTGGATTCAAAGAGAGAAAGCAGTTTTGGAGCATGCATGACACCGAATAGCACCTACTGGCAATTTCTTCAAGCAGCTGTGTCTTTTCCCAGGATCACATGGTTGCCCTCCTCAGCTGAAGTGTGAACCCAGGAAAAGATCCATTTGGTTGAAGGAGTTGCCAACAAATGCTCCAAAGCACTTTTCTCTCTTCAAATGTGAAGCACTGCACATCCCTATTAGATGTATTCTGTGAACTAGAAAAAACAGTACTGGTTTATTCTTTTCAAAGTGAGAGATGTCTCTAAGTCAAACTCACGCCACACACTTTAGTATAAGTTGTATCACAGATTTATCATAAATGTGAACAGACTGTATTTAACACTAATACCTTTCCTGTTGCCTGCCTATCTTGTCTGCATAGATTTCTGCATAGAGCAAGGCTGTGAAGTGAGCAGAACAAGACTGAGCTACCATGGCAACCTGAAGATAGTTCAACTCCAGCCAGAAGCTGTCATCAAAGATGGTACTGGAAGGATTCCTAGATAAAATATTAGACAAACACAGTCATCTCATTTTACCATATGGCTTCCAAATGAAGGAGGCCAATATCTGAGTTACCTTATTTTCATCAGGATTTTGCCACACCTATAATAGTTATTGCTTTAAATTAAAATAATGCAGGAATTTAAAAAATGATTTAATGTAATCTATAGAACAATTTCAGATAGCATAATTTTCAATTGGTATCTTTAATAATCATTGAATGCTCCCTATATTTATTTAAAAAAATGCAAGTCTTACATTATCCCATTGCTTATTTTACTGAGATAAAAGGATAGTAGACTGATAAAATATAGGCAACAAAAGAATTCAACCTACTTTTTTTGCCGTCTTAAGTAGTCAACCACAGCAAGCATTGTTCTTCGAGATATTTTATCCAAATGTCCATGAACAAGAATTTCTGGATCTACATTAAAGAACATCTTCACAGTAATTCAATTCATTAATGAACAATAGTCTTATATTAATTTAAAAACAACTCCTACATTACAACAAACAAAACCTGAAAAATGTTCCTAAGAAATGCTACCTTTAAGTTTCGAAGTGCTTTTGAATTCTTCATTTACTTTATTAAATGTGTTTATTATTTTAAAAAATTATATGGCTGCCCATCTTAAAATAAACTCTGGGTTGTTCAACACACACACACACACACACTCAAGCAGTAAACCCAAAAAAGAAAGGCCTGGCACCACAGCCAAAATTTCCGATGCAGTGCACATACTCCTCCCATGCCTAAATCTCACCTTATGCCAGTGCTTGGGGGGAAAACCAGGTCTTATGTCAGTGTTGTCCAAACTCAGCCACTTTAAGATGAGTGGACTTCAACTCCCAGAATTCCCAGAGTTGAAGTCCACTCATCTTAAAGTGACCAAGTTTGAACAGCACTGACTTAAGTGCTTTTAGGAAGGTTAAAAGGACAAGGGCCTGCCAGATCTCAAGGGAAGGGTGTTCCATAGGGCATCCACAGGCTGTTAGGGGGTTTCTGTTGCACACTTCCTAGATCCTGAAAGATGGCAGCATTTAAGGGAAGGACATGCCTACCCTATCCTATCTTGTGAGTCAGGCAGATGTCATCAGGAAGAGACAGTCCCACAAATAACCTGCTCCCATGACATGTAGGGCTTTAAAGGTAATAACCAGCATCTTGAATTGCACCTGGAAGGAAATGAGAAGCCAGTGCAGTTCACACAACAGGGGTATAACGTGGGCAAATCCAGGGGTGCCCAATACTGGGCACACCGCCACATTCTGGACCTGTTGTAGTTTTCAGATGGTCTTCAAGGGCAGCCCCACTTGGAATGAGTTCTGAAGACAGAACTCTGTCTAGACATTAAGTATTCAAGGGAGAATAGATATTTAAACCACCAATAATTAGACCATTATCTATGTGTATGAACATGTTAACAATTCCTACCCTCTGGTATAATCTCCCGCCAGAGATATGTGTGGTTCACACTCTTATGTGGTTGACGAAATCATTAAAGACCTGGTTGTTTTCCCTGGCCTTGGGTACAGGGTGACTGTCAAGCCCCATTTGTTTTGTTTTGGTTCTGGTTGGTTTATGGTTGGGGTTTTGTTCTTCTGGTTGGCTGTGTTCTTTTTAAATGTTTGGGGGTTTTAAATTGATATTTTGTTGCAAAATAGCAACAAAATGTAAGATAGCATAAATATGGTGAAAGTATGTGTGGATTAGAATCCACCTCATCAGAATCTCGTTTGTGAAGGTTTGTGCCATAATAAATCTGCTAGTCTTTAAGATACTATGAGAGTCTTTGGTTTGGATTCAGAGTCATTTCTTTGGACAGGAAATATTTCTAGTTTCACCTGTTAATTGTATTAATTTAACTGATCAGGATTTAGCATAATTTAAGATTTTGAGTAAATCAGTTATTTCACAGAAAAGAACAAATGGTCTCATCCATTTCTGAGATACTGTCAGATAGAAGTTACTGTACTTCTTTTACAGAGACTGTTCAAAAATCGTTTTTGCTTTTTTTGGGGGGGGGGGGGAACTGTGGCATGCCTAACTCCACTGACTCAACTTCATTTCTCTTTGCCTTGTCTATTTGTCCAATGGCAAATTTTAAAATAATAAAAACAAAAACCTGTACTATAACATGTAGTCCTGCCAACGGGGGTGAACTGTGGTATGCCTAACTACACTGACTCACATTCATTTCTCTTTGTCTTGTCTATTTGTCCAATGGCAAATTTTCTAAGTAGTTTTCAGCCTGGGCACTTTTAAGATATAGGGATTTCAAGTACCAATATTTCCTAACCAGCATAGCCACTGCTGTACCAAAGCAACAAAATATTTCAGTCTTTCTCTGATTCTACCATAAAAGAAGCTTCAGAGTCTTACCTGGATCTGAATTTGCAGGTGTAGATGATCTACTGGGTGACAATGAGTATTTGCAACAGGAAGTGAAAAACATTTGAACTTGTGCAGACAGAAGATGATGTCCAGATTCATTTGAGTCATGAAGCAGGATATCATGAATTAAATAGGGAAGGACAGTTTGACAGAAATCAACCTGAACCTAAAACAAATACAAAATAATATTTTGAAAATTCACTTCAGTTTCCTCATCTTGGCCCCTTCTGGTCATCTCTTCATTTTTGAAAATCATAATATAAGAAATATGTAATTTTTTATTAAAATGCCAATTATGTTTGAAATATCTGGGCACTGAAAATTCAATATAGAAAGAACTATTTTTATTTATTTAATTCAAGTGTTTATATCCCAACCTCACCAAGACACTCTTAAAAATAATAAAAACAAAAACCTGTACTATAACATGTAGTCCTGCCAACATTATTTACCTTACATAAAGGCTTCAGCAACAGAAGGATTTCACTTGTTATCATTCCACTATCCAATAAAGCACAAGTCAAGGTCTTAATCCAAATTTCATGACTTTCACTGTGAGGAATCCACAAAGTTGTACGATCCAGATCTTCTGAAGGAGTCTCTCTTATCTTTCCAGGCACTTCCAAGACCTAAATACCATTTTTGTTTAGAAACAAAGGTGAGAAAGAATGAAATTTAGTTAATGCCCCTTTAACAGGATTTCATATCTCTCCCACCACCACAATATCACATACCCTATCACTATAAGATAACAAAATGTTCCATAAAGTGTTTCTTATTGGGTGTGTGCAAGCATATCTGAGCATTTTCTGAAGTTTCCTTTTCTGAAATGGGTGATCTATTTGCTTTGTAGGATCAACAATTATGACTTGAGATTCCAACCCAATTTTCTTCCTTGCATATGAACAAGTCCCCAGGGAAGTTATTTTGTAACTAGCTTGCCCTGCACAGAAAATACTTTTTACTAGTGTCCATAAAATGTTTCGCAGATTTCAAACTTGAAAGTGCTCAAATAGAAGCTGGATAGCTGCTGTCAAGAATGCTTTAATTTGGATTATTGCTCTGGGGTTGGACTTGAGAGCCCCTTATCAATCCTACTGTATGATTCTAAAATACTTTTCATTCACTGCCCATACAATTCTCTTCTCCATCTAGGTCCAACTTGTACTATTGCCACAAAGAAGATAACGCAAGTGGTTGCTCACCTTCATTTCCCTTATTACTACTTGGAAGAAAGTTGAAAAAGAGCAGCAAAAAGGAAAAGGAAGAACAGACTTGGAGCCAAGAATCTACCTTATGCATTCTGGGCCTTGAGAAAAGCACAGTGAATCCTAATCCTGATGTTGGATACATCTGGCTATCTGGTTTACTGAAGGAGGCACGGCTCATTCTTTACTGTGGGAAAGAATGATTGCTGTGTCCTAAAGTTTGTATACTGAGCAGTTATATGGAGTCCTTGGGGTTCTCTGAGCTTGGGGTTTTTTTTGCAAACGTTTCATTACCTGACTAGATAACATCTTCAGTGCTAAAACGGGATGGGGTTTGCTCTCTATTTATATACTGTGGCATGCCTTGCCAGTGCTGGTGGGTGGTTTTGTTTTACTCCTCTGGTAGTTCCTTGATTAGTATATGTTTACTGCTTGATTGTGTGCCTGGTGCTGATCTTTGCTTATCTGGGTGATGACTGCTGGTGAGATGTTCTGGTCTTTTGTCTCTTTTGAACAGTATGTAGATGCTGTTTATCTCTATGTGTTTGTTAATTGT